ACGTAAACTATCATATCGTCAACAAATAATGAGAGTTTGACTTCTTTTCCAATTTATATCCCCTTGATCCCCTTTTGGTGTCTTGTTGCTCTAGCTAGGACCTCAAGGACCGTATTGAATAGATATGGAGAGATTGGACAAACTTGTCTTGTTCCTCCTGATTTCATTGGGATCGCTGTGAGTTTCTCTCCATTTAGTTTGATGTTGGCTGTTGGCTTGTTGTATACTGTGTTTATTATGTTTAGGTATGTTCCTTGTATCCCTGCCCTCTCCAAGACCTTTATCATGAAGGGATGTTGTATTTTGTCGAAAGCTTTTTCAGTATCTAATGAGATGATCATGTGGTTTTTATTCTTCAGTTTGTTTATATGGTAGTTTGCGTTGACAGATTTCTGTATGTTGAACCATCCCTGCATCTCTGGGATGAAGCTGATTTGATCATGGTGGATGATGGTTCTGATGTGTTCTTGGATTCAATTTTGCCAGTATTTTTGCATCAATGTTCATGAGTGAGATTGGTCTGTAACTCTTTTTGTTAGTAATGTCTTTCTGTGGTTTGGGTATCAGTGTAATTGTAGCCTCATAAAAATAGTTTGGTAATATTCCTTCTATTTCTATTGTGTGGAACAATTTGAGGAGTATTGATATTAGTCTTTCTTTGAAAATCTTGTAGAATTCTGAGGTGAAACCTCCTGGGCTTTTTTGGTTGAGAGACTTTTGATGACTGTTTCTATTTCTTCAGCAGTTATAGGTCTGTTTTATTTGCTTATCTGGTCTTAATTTAGTTTTGGTAAGTGATATTTTTCCAGAAAGTTGTCCATTTCCTTTAAGCTTTCCAATTTTGTGGAGTACAGGTTTTTGGAATATGTCCTGATGATTCTCTGTATTTCTTCCATGTCTATTGTTATGTCCCCCTTTTCATTTCTGATTTTGTTAATTTGGATATTCTCTCTGACTTTTGGTTAGTTTGAATAAAGGTTTGTTTATTTTGTTGATTTTTCTCGAACCAACTCTTTGTCTCATTGATTCTTTGTATTGCTTTCTTTGTTTCTATTTTGTTGATTTCAGCTCTCACTTTGATTATTTCCTGCCATCTAGTTCTCTTGGGTGAGTTTGCTTCTTTTTGTTCTAAAGTTTTTTTTTGTTTGTTTGTTTTTTTTGTTTTTTTTGTTTTTTTTTTTGGTTTTTCGAGACAGGGTTTCTCTGTAGCTTTGGAGCCTGCCCTGGAACTAGCTCTTGTAGACCAGGCTGGCCTCGAACTCACAGAGATCCACCTGCCTCTGCCTCCCGAGTGTTGGGATTAAAGGCGTGCGCCACCACCGCCCGGCTGTTCTAAAGTTTTCAAATGTTCCGTTAATTCACTAGTGTGGGATTTTTTTTTTTCCAGCTTCTTTTTATAAGCATTTAGTGCTATGAAGTTTCCTCTTAACACTGCTTTCATTGTGTCCCATAAGTTTGGTTATGTTGTGTGGTCATTTTCATTGAATTTTAGGAAGCCTTTAATTTTCTCCCTTTATTTCTTTCTTGACCCATTGATGATTCACGTGAGCATTGTTTAATTTCCATGTGTTTGTGGGTTTTCTGGAATTAGTGTTGCTGTTGAATTCTTATTTTAAGCCATGGTGATCTGATAAGATACATTGGGTTATTTCAATTTTTTGGTATCTGTTGAGGTTTGCTTTGTTACCTAATATGTGGTCAAATTTTGAGAAGGTTCCGTGAGGTGCTGAGAAGAAGGTATATTCTTTTTTGTTTGGATGGATTATTCTATAGATGTCTGTTAAATCCATTTGAGTCAGCACATCTGTCAGTTCCTCTTATTTCTCTGTTATTTTTTTTTCTGACAGACTTGTTCTGTGGTGAGAGTGGAGTGTTGAAGTCTCCCACTATTAGTGTGTGGGGTTTAATGTATGATTTAAGCTTTAGAAATGTTTCTTTTACATATGAGGGTGCCCTTGTGTTTGGGGCATAGATGTTCAGTATTGAGATTTTCTCTTGACGGATTTTTCCTGTGACTAATATGAAATGTCCTTCTTTGTCTCTTTTGATTGATTTTAGTTAGAAGTCTATTTTGTTAGATATTAGGATAGCTACACCCACTTGTTTCTTAGGTCCATTTAATTGGTATATTTTTTCCTAACCCTTTACTCTGAGATGATGTCTGTCTTTGAGGTTGAGGTTTGTTTCTTGTATGCAGCAGAAGGATGGATTCTGTTTTTGTATCCAGTCTGTTAGCCTGTGCCTTTTTATAGGTGAGTTGAGTCCATTTATATTAAGGGATATTAATGACCAGTTATTGCTATCTCCTGTTAATTTAGTTTTTGTTGTTGGTGATGTTAATTTGTGTGTTTTCCTCTTCTTTTGGGATTTGCTGCTTTGAGATCATCAATTGTCTGTGTTTTGTTGATGTAGCCAACTTCCTTGGGTTGGAGGTTTCCTTCTAGTATTTTGTCTAGGGCTGGGTTTGTGGCTAGGTATTGGTTAAATATCATTTTGTCCTACAATATCTTGTTTTGTCCTTCTATGGTGATTGAAAGTTTTGCTGGGTATAGTAGTCTGGGCTAGCATCTGTGGTTTCTTCTTTTTTTTTAATTATTTATTTATTTATTTATTATGTATACAATATTCTGTCTGTGTGTATGCCTGCAGGCCAGAAGAGGGCACCAGACCTCATTACAGGTGAGTTGTGAGCCACCATGTGGTTGCCGGGAATTGAACTCAGGACCTTTGGAAGAGCAGGCAATGCTCTTAACCGCTGAGCCATATCTCCAGTCCCCCTGTGGTTTCTTCTTAATGTCTGCATAATGCTTGACCACGACCTTCTGGTTTTCATTGTCTCTAATGAGAAGTCAGGTGTAATTCTGATAGGTCTGCCTCGTGTTATTTGGCCTTTTTCCTTTGCGGCTCTTAATATTCTTTCTTTACTCTGTATGTTTAGTGTTTTGATTATTATGTGGTGAGGGGACTTTTTTGGATCTAGTCTATTAAGTGTTCTGTAAGCTTCTTATATCTTCATAGGCATATCTTTCTTTAGTTTGGGAATGTTTTCTTCTATGATTTTATTAAATACATTTTCTGTGCTTTTGAGTTGAGCTTTTTCTTCTTAGGTTTGGCCTTTTTGTTGTGTCCCATATTTCCTGGAGATTTTGGGTTAAGCTTTTGTTAGATTCAATGTTTTCTTTGACTGATGAGTATATTTCCTCTATTGTATCTTCAGCACTTGAATTTTTCTCTTCCATGTCTTGTATTCTGCTGTTCATGCTGGCCTTTTTGGTTCCTTATTGTTTTTTTCATGATTTCTGTTTCTATAATTCCCTCGGCTTGTGTTTTCTTTATTTTGTCTATTTCAGTTTTCAAGTCTTGAATAGTTTCTTTCATATGTTTAATTGCTTTTCTTGGTTTTCTTTGAGGAATTTGCTGATATCTTCCATTTTTTTTTGTTTTTTCCTCCATTTCTTTTAGGGAAGTTCTCATTTCCACAAACGTCCTGAAGTTATTTTGTAGGTCATTTTCTTCTGCTTCATCTATATTTGATTGTTCAAGTCTTGCTGTTGTAGAGTCTTTCGGTTTTACTGGTTTCATATTGTTCTTTGTGGTGTTGTATGTGATCTTACCTTGTCTACTCATCTTTTCCTGTAATAGGAAATGATGATATAGGAAAAAATGATATGGAGACTTATCTGGCATCTCTGCCTTCTTCCCAGCATTCTCTCTGTCTGAAATCCTGCATAGGTATAGTCTTTTTCTTTGCTAACTTTATTAATCTTTAGCTATTTTGATCAACTCTAACAATGATATTCGGTGGAGATGTGCTATGTAAGGACTCAGGAAATGAGACTTTTCATCTGTGTACTTCAGGACCCTGAGCTCAGGCTGCCAGCCCTGTGTGATGTCATGTACAAAGAGCCCAACTCCTTGGCTGTGGCATCAGCCACATGTAACTCAGGGCTTGTGCCAAGGGAATGTCAGCTATTGCCTAAGCTGGGAGTATGTGTCAAGGACAGGTGGCTTAGAGGCCCTTGCAGTTCCCTGAGCCCACAGCCGGGAGGGACCTCAGCCGATGGCATGAGTCTGGGCAGGCTGCAGAAGAGAGTGCGCATATGTGTGGATATGTGTGAGCGTTGTGTATGCACATTTGAGGCTGCATGCTTGTGTACTCCTCACAGCCTGGGTGAGTGGTAAGAGGCAGGCCAGGGTTTGACATTTCAGATGCTGGGATCCCTCTTTAGACAATCAGTGGGTGCAATACTTGTCTGCAGCATTCCTGAGGCTTTGTGTTCATCATGTGCCAAGCAAACCAGGTGTAGTACACACCTGTCTCCCCAGTCCTGAGGAGGTAGGGTCAGGACAGTCAGGAGTTCAAGGGCAGCCTAGACCAAATTGCAAATCTGAGATCAGGCTAGGCTCCTAAAACAAACATATTTGAGCTGGACAGTGGTGGTAACACACACCTGTAGTCCTAGCACTTGAAGAGTCAGAGGCAGGTGAATATCCTTGAGTTCAAGGCCAACCTGGTCTACATAGCAAGTTCCAGGATAACTAGAGGTGTCACACAGAGAAACCCTGTCTCTAAAAACCACACACAAAACAGAAACCCCATATTTGCATTAAGGCAGATGCAGGTAATGGGGCCTTTGAGATTTGGTTGCCGACATGCAGGGCCATAGGATGGCGTTTACACTGTGTCTATAGTCATCCGCTGGTAGGAGCGCATGTTGTCCTGTTAGCTGTGGCTGCTGGGGCATTCTACCTTCATGGGGAATCTGAGGGACTGCTTAATGATTGGGGTGAGCTCCTGTGCTGCTAAGCCTAGCAAGAGGGTAAGGATGAGTGACCATCATGTCCCTTCATGCCAGGAGGTGCCTCAGAGGAAGATGCCCACACATTCTGTGCAGGTTGCACATTGACAACCAGTGAATGGTCTCTGTGAGGAGTGAGTGCTGACTTGTGCTGCAGCCTCCCGATGCTAAGGACCACAGTAACACTCCCTCTCCCCACAGCACATCTCCATACCCCAGCCTGACTGCCCCGAGGAGGTGCGGGCCTTCTCCTTCTACCTCTCCAACATTGGCCGAGACAGCCCTCAGGGCAGCTTTGACTGCATCCAACAGTATGTCTCCAGGTAAGGCTACCTGCCCTCAGACTGCTGCCTGTTCCTGTGGTGCTGAGGCTGGCTCGGCGTGGCTCAGGTGGCACCCTAATGGTGACATTTCCTCTTGCTGTGCAGCCATGGGGATGTTCACTTGGACTGTCTGGGCAGCATCCAGGATAAGGTCACAGTGTGTGCCACCGATGACTCCTACCAGAAGGCCCGGCAGAGCATGGCGCAGGCAGAGGAGGAGACTCGGAGCCGAAGTGCCATTGTCATTAAGGCTGGAGGCCGCTATATGGGTGAGTGGCAAGCAGGAGGCTGGGACATAACCAAAGGGAGGTTCATATTGCAGGGTGTTGGAGTATGGGGCTGTGGCTACAGATGACATGTGAGCCTCAAGTAGGACAGGGACCTGGGCCAGCCATCCTCTCCAAGTCTGAGAGGTACAGAGCTATGCATAGGTTCAGGTCCACTTAGTTCTCCAGTTATCCCCAGCCACTCCTCCAAAGGGTACTGTGGCCACAAGCTGCAGACTGGGAGGTGGGTGAATTTGGCCTCCTGAGAACAACCCAGCAATGGGACAGCACCAGGCAGTCCCAGGGGGGAAGGAAGGGCCTTGTTTTGTCTGCGTGGTTTTTTATGTTTAAAGTAATGCATGTATTTCTAATGTGCAAGTGGAACCTGCTCGGCTGTGTACTCACGTGCATGTTAGTTGGTGAATGCCTTTCTGGGGAGGCTATTTCTCAGGAGCTTAGCATTCTTAGTTGCCTTAGAGTTTCATGCAGAACTGCAGCCTTGTGTTTTTTCCCTGTTTGCTTAGCATATGTAGTGAGTCTGAGGCCAGCCTGGTCCACCAGAGACTCTGTCTTAGAACGAGGACCCAGGTTTGGTTTGTTCCAACACCCAAGTGTCAGCTCTCGGTGCCCTCTACTGGCCCCCTTGGCCATTGCACACATGTGCTCAAACATATAGGAATAAATAGGTGTCTATTTCATAATAGAATAAGAGTTGGAATTTCACATTGTTTCCCCCATACTCCACATGTTGTGGGGTGCAGCTTTGGGTGGGTCTTGAGTAGAGTGAGCATGGCTAGTCTTCCTCCTGTGTGCCTGTGGTATTGGAGTTCTGAGCTGAACCGTGATGACAGAGACCCCTCTTCAAGGATGGGGTGTGCACCCATGTGAACGAAGCTGTGGTTCTGTGGATACAATTTGGTTAGCAACCTCACTTGTCACACCTTGTTAAGGTACCATGTTGATTTCTAAGACTGTCGCTGTTTAACTAGTGGGCACACTTAGGAGACTGAGGCAGGAAAATGATGAGTCAATTTAGCCTGGGCTGGGCCTTGAGAGATGGCTCAGAGGTTAAAAGCACTGGCTGTTCTTCCAGAGATCCTAAGTTCAATTCCCAGCAACCACCTGGTTGCCTATAATGAGATGTGGCTCCCTCTTCTGGCCTACATGCACACATGCAGGCAGAGCACTATATAATAATAAATAAATACATCATTTGAAAAAAAAAATAGCCCGGGCTACAGTGAGACTTTGTCTCATACCAGACTGAACCAGATTGTGAAGGGAGGGGCCCTCCAGGTGCTGGGCTTGCTGTGTCCTGAAGGGCTGCTCAGGATGGCCTCCTGATGCCTTCACAGCCACAGAGCTCTGGCTGAGGCTGCAAGGCAGCCGCGGTGCCTTTAAATCTGCAGAAGCAAGCAGAGCTGGTACAGGGCACCTGTCAGCCCTGGTGCCTTCTGTCTTTGGGCTGTGGCAAGATGCCCACACATTCACAGTTGCTCAGTCTCTTTCCCCTCTCTCCTCTTGCCTTCTGCTTGCTTTGCTCTGCTATGGACACTGACACTGTTCATGAGTCCTAAACCTGGTGCACCCTCTGTGGCATGGTATTTGGCTGTCTGCTGCACCATAACACGCAGGCTCTCATGGCAGGCAAGAAAGTTCAGTTCCGGAAGCCAGCGCCAGGGACAACCGATGCGGTGCCCTCCCGGAAACGGGCCACCCCCATCAACCTGGCCAGTGCCATCAGAAAGAGTGGTGGGAGTGGAGCCAGCAGTGTGGTTCTGAGGCCCTTCCGAGATCGGGTGCTGCACCTCCTGGCCCTGAGGCCCTACAGGAAGGCTGAGCTGCTACTGAGGCTACAGAAGGATGGTCTGACGCAGGCGGACAAGGAAACCCTGGACAGCCTGCTGCAGCAGGTAGGTGCAGGCCAGCCTGACCACACAAGCTTCCTGACCCCACGGTGGTCTCAGGCCCAGCCTCCTGGGGTGGCAGAAATGTACTGGGTTCTTCCCTAGCAGGGCCCACAACAGGCAGTGCCCACAGACCTGTATGGTATGGTATGGTATGGTATGGTTGCACAGTTTCGGCTCAGAGCTGTGTCTGTGACTGCTGTTAACCCTGCACTATCCATAGGAACTTGGGTCATGCCTTCCTGCTGTCCCCACCCACAGTGTTTCCTGGGACACTGGATGGTGAGCATTCTTGCTGACTTTAAGCTACCAGCCAAGGTTGGTGAGATTGCTCACTTGGGAAAGGAGCTTGCTGTCTGGTGATGCCCAGTGGTTAGGATCAGTGTGCTCTTGCAGAGGATCCAGGTTCTGTTCACACCACCAATGTGTTGGTTCACAGCTGTCTGTACCTCCAGTTACAGAGGATCTTAATCCCTCTTCTGGTCCCTGTGGGCACTAGGCATGCACGTGGTGCAGACACAGAAATTCGGGCAAAACTCCCACACATGTGAAATTAAAAAAAAAAAATGACAGCACCAGCCAGACCTTGGGAACCAGCATAGAGGTGGATTGGGGTGGCCTCGCCCCTGTGCTCTGGGTGACAATATAATATCAAGAGTCTTACAGACAACACTTGGGAGGCAGAGGCAGGTGGATCTCTGAGTTCGAGGCCAGCCTGGTGTACAAGAGCTAGTTCCAGGACAGGCTCCAAAGCTACAGAAAAGCCTTGTCTTGAAAAAAAAAAAAAAACAAATAAAAGACTCACAGAAAGCTCTGGAATCAGGAGAGGTGATGATCACCCTCTACCTCTGCCCATGGAGTTCACATAGATGCAACATGGGGCTCCCAGGGCCTCTGTGGTCAGCCATACCAGGCCTGACCATAACAAGCTCTACCAGCCTCACTCTGAATGTATGGTGTATCTTGTGTGATAGTGGGACCCCACAGGTACAGAACAGGCCTGTCTTGTCACCCATTGGTCTGGTCCTTTACAGCCTCCACGGGTCTCCAGAGGCCCTGAGCACCTGCAATGAGGAGGACCAGGGGGTGGATTGACCAAAGGAACCAGGTCTGCCCCAGGGCAGTAATAGATGGTCAGTGAGACTACATGCATGGAAGAGCCTGTGTATGGGAATGTGTCCATGCTGTGCAGAAGCTGAGTGGCATGACAGTACAGCATCTAGATCTCAGTGCTATCATGAAGTAAGCAATTACTCAACCAGTAATAAGTCCCTGCCAGCTTAGCATGCTGGCATACTCGTGATCCCAGCATCCTGAGGCAAGAAGTTGTAAATTCAAGGCCAACCTGGGCTACAAGTCAAGGCTTTGTCTCCCAAACCCAGAAAATATAACCCATTCCTCTCAGATCCAGCACACCTCAAGAGTACTTCAGATTGACACAGCTGAATGGCTGGTGTGTACATTTGCCTCACACTGGCGGCCAGCAAGGCCAGCACAGACATGGCCTTAGCCCCTTCAGGCTCCTCTGATGAAATGCTCTAAGCCTCAGCTGACAGATAGCCTGGAATGAGTGAGAGAGGACTTCCTGGCTGTCACCATCTGAAATAGGTAGGGGCCTGTGAGGGGCTGACCGCAGCACACCATGCTGCCCCTCATCCAAAAGACAGTCTCCACCTTCAGTGTGAGCCTGTCGCTCCAGTGCAGGGAAGCTGAGGTAGGATTATTGCTGCCCATGTCCCTTTAGAGTCCTGTGTTCCCTAAGCACTCACCACCCCAGAGACTATGCAGTGCCAGTCAGTGACAGCTGGATATCCTGCAGGTAGCCAGTGTAAACCCCAAAGACGGCACATGCACACTGCGGGACTGCATGTACAAGGACGTGCAGAAGGACTGGCCCGGCTACTCTGAGGGTGACCAGCAGCTGCTGAAGCGCGTGCTCATGCGGTAAGGTCCTGTGTAAACTTGAGTGGTAGCAGCCTCACTCCCACCCCTTTCAGCCCCAGCCTCAGAGGACCTTGGACAGGCTTCAGCCTAACAGATGGCTCACAATCATAGCTGTCCCCAACCAACTGTGCAGGTTCCTGCCGGCTAGGGTGTCCCATCCATGTCCCCATGGCTTCTAATGAGCCTCTTGGGCCCATGGAGTGCAGGAGGCAGACTCCAGGAGAGTGGCACGATAATTAAATGCTTCCCCTGGTGCTGGTACTGGGAAGGGAATAGCTAATTGATTCTGGAGTGATTTCCCAAGGAGAGATTCCTATTGATTCCTCAAGGTTAGGGACAGCAGCTCACTCTGGGCTGATCTCCTAGCCTGTGCCTTTGCTAGAGCCTGGGTTCCAAGTGCTTGGAGAGGCTGGGAGGGAACATCTTGACAGAAGCCCTAGGCTTGCCACTCGCCACATACTTTTTTTCTTTCCTCTTTCCTTTTCCCTCCCTCCCTCCCTCCCTCCTCCTCCTCCTTCCTTCCTTCCTTTTTTTTTTTTTTTTTTTTTTTTTGCCTTTTTTGAGACAGGGTTTCTCTGTGTAGCCCTTGGTGTCCTGGAACGCACTCTGTAGGCTGGCCTCGAACTCAGAGATCCGCCTACATCTGCCTCCTGAGTGTTAGGATTAAAGGCATGCGCTGCCCAGTTTCTTTTCTCTCTTTTTTGAGTCAGGGTCTTACAGAGACAATTCGGGTCTTAACTGCTGACCCACCTCCTTGTCTCCGCCCTCCACCAGTGCTGGGCTCCCTGAGCCAAGTGCTCACCTGGTCTCTTACTGGCCCTCATGTGAGTGTGCGGGCAGGGCCAGCATGCCTGGGACTAGTCACCACTGCTGATGACATTCCCTCTGATGAGTGCTGAGCCAGTCGGTGTGTGTGTGATACCATGTGCATAGCAGGGCCACATACAGACTTAGAGCTGACACACAGGATGGGGTTGTGCTAACTGTGGTCCCAGGTGCTGACCACCCACACCTCAGCCTGCAGAGCAGGAGTGCTCCCTGAGGACCCAGGAGTCCTCCGCCTGGCGAATGCCGCGCAGGCAGCCCCTCTGGGCGCAGTTGTAGTACTAACATGGTGCCTCTACCACTCTCCTGCAGAAAGCTGTGCCAGCCACAGAGTGCCAACTCAGACTCCACTGCCTCTAGCCCACCCCGGGAGCATGGCCGCTCCGCCTCACCCTCTCAGGTACCTGCCTTAGGATAGATGAGTGTGGGGTCCTCATTGGTGCCCCACAGCCCTGTGTGGTCAACATCCACTGCCTGAGCCACATTCCCTTGGGGAACTTGCTTTCTTCGGGGTCGGGGGTTGTCTGTCTGGATGGCCATATGCTTCGGGACCTTGTCTTCATCCTCCAGTGCCCACAGTCAAGTACCTGCAGAGTGCCTGTCACTGACCAGTCGGGCAGGCACCTGATATGCAGGGATTGGTAAGCCCTGCCCAGCTGTGTGTAGGCACCCCCGTGTGGCCACAGCAGACCCTCAAGGTGGCTTCTGGTTCCCACAGGCTTCTCTGCTCACTTCTCAGAAACGACCTCAGTCCACAGACTTCATTGACCCCCTGGCCAGCAAGAAGCCCCGCATCTCACACTTCACACAGCGAGCACAGCCCACCCTCAATGGCAAGCTGGGTGCCCCCAATGGCCACGAGATCCTGCTGCCTACCCTGGGGTCCACCCCTACGGACACCCTCAGCTCTAGCCATTTGCCCCCACGGCTGGAGCCCCCACGGACCCATGACCCCTTAGCTGATGTCAGCAATGATCTAGGCCATAGTGCCCAGGACTACAAGCACCAAGAGGCTACCCAAGCCCCAGCCCCAGCCTCAGCCCCTCACCTCAGCCTGCCCCTGCTGACGGACTTTTCCCAGTCTGAGCGACCTGCTGGCTCCTCGCACACCCATAGCCGACCCAAGAAGAAGTCCAAGAAGCACAAAGACAAGGAACGGCCCCCTGAGGACAGGCCCTCCGCCCCACAGCCTGATGCCCCTGCGCTGCTCCCAGATACCCCAGGTCAGTACTATCTTGTTGTCTGAGTCACTAGGTGTGGGGTGTGAGAGCATCCCTGGGGTCAGGACCTGGGGTACTGTGGCTGGCCACCAGCCTGCAGCCCCAAGCAGGGGTGCCATGGGAAGCACTGAGATGCCCTGGGCCAGAGAGTCAGGGAGGGCCAAGGCACAGACGGGTGTACTGAGCCAGGGAGCAATGGCTGCTAGGACAGGAGGATATACCATGAGGAGTGAGGCAGAGGCCTCCGGAGCCCTGTGTCCACAGTGTGGTGAGCACATGGGTATGGCGTTACGGGGCCTGTACTGGCTGTGTGCTCTGCTGGCGCTAGGAACTCACAGACACAAAGTAGCTGTAAGACCTTTAGGGACTACTGAGGCCGCTGTGGGCATGCAAACCATTGGCCACAGATAACCTCTGGCTTTGTCTGATGGAGGACAATTCAAAGGGTTGTGATTACACATGGGGCACACTGCTCTAAGAGCCCTTGTCCACCTGGTCAGCTCCAGAGCGCAAGACCTGTGGTCCAGCACTGCGGGTTGGGGCCCTGAAGCCTATGTTGGTTAGGCTGAGAGCATTTGGTCAAAACAGGGTATGTGGGGACTTTGAGCTGTTAGTCCAGGGAAGCAGCAAGTGTACCCTATCAATCCCGCCATGGAGGGGAGCCCAGGCTACAGAGTCAAATAAATGAACTACATGGCTGGAACGTGGTGCTTTTCCTGGCAGGGCTGCACCTTGCCTCACCCCTTCGTAGGTTCCACCAGCTCCTGGTCGTAGGCTTGGTTGGGGATGCCATGTGGAGGAACCCCTCCTGACTGGCCCAGCCTGCAGTGGTAACTGCAGAGGGCTAGGGCCCAGCGGTCTCAGTGTTGCTGTGTTTGCAGTTGCTGTGCTGCCAGAGACCGCACCTGCCTGGTCGTCTGTGCCGTCAGGGTTTGTCTCCAGCTCAGTGCAGACACTGAATATTCAGAGTTCTGTTTTTGGCTTCAAGCCAACCTGTCTAGAGGCCAGTAGCCTGGACAGTGGGTCTCCACTGTGGCCAGCTGGCCTTGACACCTGGTCCACTGCTAGTGTCAACTTGTGGCCATCTAAGCATGGCTTGCAACCTCACACACACTGACCCTGGACTAAGGGTGCATTGCTCATGCAGGTCTGAATGGAGCCTGTGCCAGTGTCCCCACGTCTACTTCTGAGACCACGGACTATTTGCTGTGAGTATATTACCTGGGCTGTGTCCTACCCAGGCCCAGACACCTGCCTGAGCCAGGTGCTGCCAACCACTGTGCCCTTGAGCCCCAACAACCCTTATCGTCCCTCAGGAAATACCCCGCCATCTCGTCATCAGAGCAGCGTCAGAGCTACAAGAACGACTTCAATGCTGAGTACAGCGAGTATCGCAGCCTGCACGCACGCATTGAGCAGATCACGCGCAGGTTCACGCAGCTTGATGCACAGCTCAGGCAGCTGAGCCAGGGCTCCGAGGAGTATGAGGTACTGCTAACTACCCATGACCAGGGTTTGACCACAAGTCCCTGCAGTAGGGCCTGGGCAAGGTCAGGAGGTCTTGTAGCTCACACAGGTTTCTCTAGTGTGGCTACTTCACCATTTGTCTTCCCCCGCCATGTCCCCTGCACCCTTGAAAGAAGTGCAGGAAGGCTGTGCTCTGCCTGTCTAGGTGGTTGCTTCCTCAGCTTCCCAAGGTGGGACATAATTAGTTCTTACTGTTTCCCCCAGACAACCCGTGGGCAGATTCTTCAAGAATACCGGAAAATCAAAAAGGTGCGTGAGGCAGCGTGGGTGCTGAGTGGGGAAGCCTGCCTGGCCCAGGTTGCCGGGCAGATGTGTCTCACCGGTGGCCCTTGGTTCCCTCACAGACCAACACCAACTACAGCAGAGAGAAGCGACGCTGTGAGTACCTGCACCGCAAGCTGGCACACATCAAGCGGCTCATCGCAGAGTATGACCAACGGCAGCTGCAGGCCTGGCCCTAGCGTGCTAGCGGGCAGTCCTGATGCTCCGCCTGCCTTTTCTAGTTTTCTATGAACTCGGCCCTTTCGCCGGCGCAGAGACCGTCTATTTTTGTATTTTTTCTACTCCGTGCCTCTCCACGGCCCACACCTCCAGGGTTAGAAGCTCCAGGGAAAGTCAGCAGAGTACCAGGTCCTGGTCACTGTAGCTCCCGGCTATGCCCGAAACCCCCTGCAGTGCCCTCAGCAGCATATGGTCGTCAGCCCCCCACCCCCTGCATACACACCTTCATGTCACACCGAGGCTGTGTGGTCCTGTGCTGCTGGCCTCACTCTGTCCCTTCATCCATTTGTGGGTGATGGGGTCCTCTCTGCTGGGTTCCCACAGGGCGGGGGGGGGGGCCTGAAAGTGGTGCCTTGCTTGCCTTTTCCAGGGCGCAGGCCTGTGGCCCCCAATTGCTGCTTTCTTACTGTGCCTCGTCTTCTCATACCCCAAATCCTAGGGGCCGTTGGTGTGTGCGTGCGTCTATGTGTGAGAGTGGGTTCTGAACTGTGCACATTCAGAGAGAAGCTGTGCTGGAGATACGCTGGGGGTGGCAGGGGCACTGCTACCCACGGTTGCAGAACGGGGAGGGCAGAAACTCAAATACAGATGTCTATTTTTTGTCGTTATTTTTGTTTTTTTTCGAGACAGGGTTTCTCTGTAGCTTTGGGCCTGTCTTGGAACTAGTTCTTGTAGACCAGGCTGGTCTTGAACTCACAGAGATCCGCCTGCCTCTGCCTCCTGAGAGCTGGTGTGCCACCACCACCCGGCCCAGATGTCTATTTTTCTAAACCTCAGGGGTGTCTCTGGATGGCTTCCAAAGAGCCTGGCAGCCAGGAAGCACCTGCCTGGTCCAGTTCTACCCCACACAGCTATTAGTTTTCCTATGGGATCCCTGGGGTCCCCAGACCCTAGAGGAAACCGATCCTTCAATGTTTAGATGACTGTTGGTTTCTAAATGGGGCTGGGCCAGATTCTGCACAGTGCGTTGTGCAGGCTCTGGGTACACCCAGCCCAGACTGCCCCTTTCCTGCCCTGGGAACTCCACCCAGGGACTATCAGTTGAATTGGTCTGATTTGTTGTTCTGTTGTCTGTCTGAGATTTATGAAGGGAGGGCAGGGCCAGGCTCTGGAACTGCTGGTGCTGGCAGGTTAAAGATGGTCTAACTTATTGGTGGTCTCCGCCTTTGGACTGTACAGTGGATAGTCTACTTTGAGCCATGGACTTGGTGTTTACAGTCTTCACTTTTGCCAAAACGTTACAATTGACAGGAGAAACGGTGCCTTCTTGGGACCCTTTCTCTGAACCTGCCTGTCTTTTGTACACTAAGCAGGTGAACCACCGACTTTTAAAGTCTATAATAAATTTGATGGACTCGCATCCCCGCTGTGCCTTGTGTATGTCACTGAAGGGTGTGGGGTGGTCCTAAGTGAGCTTAGACCAGAGCTCCCTGTGGTGAGGTGAGGGGTGAGGCCAGGCAGGCAGGCTGGGGTGGTAGGGTGCTCGGGCACACACAGAGTTGGCTCTCCTGCAGCACCAAGGCCCGCCGATGAGGAGTTAAGGCCTGGTGAGGAGGGGGTGTCTTAGCTCCAGCCACCGAGGATGGGGCAGAAAGACTTCCTGGGCCTGTTTTTAAAACAACAGTGCACATAGCAAAAAGTGATGCTGTGTTTTAAGCTGCACTCAGCTGAGGCCATGGAGCTGAGTGGTGGGCTTGGCCACCGTTGGCCACCTCCAAGCAGATAGCAGAGGCTGGGTCTGGGCCAGGGCAGAGTCTGAGCATGTTTGTTCTCAAGGGCTGGGGTCAGTCTGCCTCGAGACCTTGGCTGAACTTCTAAGAGTTCTGAGGCGGCTGAGGGGGTGGAAGGGAGAGCCAGGTGCCCTGCGGTCTGCTGTGTACCCACCACTTGGGAACAGCATGACCATTCTCTGCCATCTTCGGCCCTGGAGCGGCTGACCCTTGTCCCCCCACACCTGACACAATGGTTCCTGAACACACACACTGCCCCACGTCCAGGCCAGAAGGGACTCTTGGGCCAAGTCCTCTCATCAGCCTTGCTTTCAGCTCTGGGTCCCTTGGCCAACAAATGTCCCAACTGCAATCTTCTTGCCTCAACCTCCCAAATACTGGATGACAAGTTGGCCAGCAGGCAGTATCATTACCTAAATCAGACTGATTAGATACCCTCCATTTCTATTGAAGTAAACCCCAAGACGAACGGGGGGGGGGGGGGAACAGTGATCTTTACAGCACAATCTGGATCCTCGGCCCCCGGGGAACAACCCCGCTCGCATCTGAGCTCCTCCCTGGTGCTTTACTTTAGGGGATGCAGTGGGCTTTGCCTGTATTTCTTCCTTGACAATCTCTTCTTCAAACATCAAAACCCTCTCCAACAGCCCCTCCAGGAATCCTGCCAGGGTCTCTTCACCGGGATGTGCACAGTCCCCTTTCTGTTCCTTCACATTGGGATTGGTTCAGGTTATCTGGACCAACCAACAACAAATAATCTTGACGCCTACGAAGCGCAACCCCCCTCCCTTTCGTGCAGACATTGTGGACGATCCACCTTTTTGGCCCTGCTCCAGCAGGGAAAAGTTTCCACTAGGAGGAGGCCACTTGTTTTGGAAAATTCTGGGGTGCCTCCCCCGCCTGCCCGCTGGGTTCCCACGGTCCTTATCGCTATGCCTGCTGAGGGGGAGGCAGCGCTGGCCTGGCCATCCTGTCCCTTCCCGTTGGCCTGGTCACGCAGGACAGTGCCAAGGATTAGGGGGTAAGGCATACGAGAGCGCAGTTTAGCTCAGCTCCGGGACCACCAAGAGCCCCTCGCCAAGCGGGGCCCCGCCTCCCTGACGGTGGCTGTCGCTCATTGGCTGCCGTGGTGACCCGGTACAACGTGAGTGCGCAGCGAGCCAATGCGCACGGAGCTCGCGCCTAAGGCTGCTTCCGGCCACCTGGGTCCAGAGCGCCTCGAACCCTGGGCCGCTCGTTACGCCCAGCAGGGGCGTGGCCGGGGCGTGGCCGGGGCGTGGCCTTGGTCCTTTTCTCCACTGCCCGCGCGCGCGCCCTGGTGTCCCGCGCTGTCCGCCTCCGTAGCCCGAGCCCACTCGGAGCCGGTGAGTGCGGTCCTGTCCTGGGGTGTAGGGTGTGCCCCGGGCAGAGGGCTCGCGCTCACCGGCTTTCGCCCATAGCTCGCCGCGATGGAGCCCGCCGCCGAGATCCTGGTGGACAGCCCGGACGTAGTCTACAGCGCCGAAGCCATCGAGGCTCGCTATGAGTACCGGACAACGCGCGTCAGCCGCGAGGGCGGCGTGCTGCGGGTGCGCGCGGGGCCCGGGGGGCGGTGGACACCAGGAGCCCGAGGTTCCGCCACTCATTCCCCACCCGTCTTTAGGTGCAGCCCACTGCTACTCGCTTCACCTTCCGCACAGCCCGGCAGGTGCCCCGGCTCGGGGTCATGCTTGTAGGCTGGGGTGGGAACAACGGTTCCACGCTCACCGCGGCCGTGTTGGCCAACCGGCTGCGTCTGACCTGGCCCACGCGCACTGGTCGCAAGGTGGGGGCCCGTGCGGCTGCGAGAGGACGGGGAGGACCCTGAGGGGCGGAGCCGTGTGAGGTGTGGGTGACGTCATCTCGGTCTTGCGCGAGAGCGGGCGGGGGCGTGGCCTCCGGAGCTTGCGGTCCCAGTGCGCCGGACCCTTACCCCCTCAACACCCTACCTACTCCTCTTGTTACTCCCCAGGAAGCAAACTATTACGGCTCGTTGACCCAGGCGGGCACCGTGAACCTGGGTCTGGATGGGAACGGCCGGGAGGTGTTCGTGCCCTTCAGCGCGCTTCTACCCATGGTGGCCCCCAACGACCTGGTGTTTGACGGTGGGCGGAACCTCGGGGTGGGGTGGAGGTACGTGTGGGAGGGCCCAGGGTACAGGATGGGTTCAGTGTGAGAGTCCCCACAACCTAGGCTGGGATATCTCGTCACTAAACCTGGCCGAGGCGATGCGGCGCGCACAGGTCCTGAACTGCAGCCTGCAAGAGCAGCTGTGGCCCCACATGGAGAACCTGCGACCCCGGCCCTCTGTCTACATTCCTGAGTTCATCGCTGCCAACCAGACAGCACGTGCAGACAACCTCATCCCTGGCACTCGTGCACAACAGGTGGGAGCCTCGACTGGCTTCCCCAGCTCAGTCACCTGTTAACTGGCCACGTGGTCCTTTCCTTTGGCTACGTCCCCACCCTCACCCACCCTGTCCCCATGAGTAGCCCACATCCCTGGAGGGCTTGGACAGCTTCCTCCTCCTCTAGCCCCATCTTTTCCCAGTTGGAGCAGATCCGAAAGGACATTCGAGACTTCCGATCCAGCGCAGGATTGGACAAGGTCATCGTGCTGTGGACCGCCAATACGGAGCGTTTCTGCGAGGTGGTCCCAGGTCGTAATGACACAGCTGAAAACTTGCTGCGTACTATCCAGGTGGGTGCGCGACCAGGATTCTTGGGGATCAAGGCCAGAGGGAGCCTTGGCTGACTGCCTGTCTGCCCACAGCTTGGCCTGGAGGTGTCACCATCCACACTCTTTGCCGTGGCCAGCATCCTGGAGGGCTGCGCCTTTCTCAATGGGTCCCCACAGAACACGCTGGTACCTGGTGCCCTGGAGCTGGCTCTCCAGCGCCATGTGTTCGTGGGTGGGGATGATTTCAAGTCTGGTCAGACGAAGGTCAAGTCTGTTCTAGTGGACTTCCTCATCGGCTCTGGCCTGAAGGTACCTGGGGGCTTCATGAGGTGCCCGGAAGGAGGCCAGGACCTCGGGTTGGTGAGGGTCCCTACATCCACAGTATCTCTGTGACCACGCAGACCATGTCCATCGTGAGCTATAACCACTTGGGCAACAACGATGGGCAGAACCTGTCTGCACCACTGCAGTTCCGCTCCAAGGAGGTGACAAAGAGCAGCGTGGTGGACGACATGGTTCAGAGCAACAGTGTCCTCTACGCACCAGGAGAGGAGCCAGATCATTGTGTGCGTGGGGTTGTGGGCAGGCAGGGGCCTGGTGTCGTATGATTGGGCTGTGATCTGATGCGCCTCCACAGGTGGTGATCAAGTATGTGCCCTATGTGGGGGACAGCAAGCGTGCCCTGGACGAGTACACCTCAGAGCTGATGCTGGGTGGAACCAACACCCTGGTGCTCCACAACACTTGTGAGGTACCGAGGGCGGTGGCGGGCGGGGGTGGGTGTTGATTTGCCAGACCCTTGTCATGCCCTTCGCCAACCCCCACCCAGGACTCGCTCTTGGCAGCGCCCATCATGCTGGACCTAGTACTGCTCACAGAGCTCTGTCAGCGAGTGAGCTTCTGCACCGACTCGGACCCTGAGCCTCAGGGCTTCCACCCCGTGCTGTCGCTGCTCAGCTTCCTCTTCAAGGCACCACTCGTGCCTCCTGGCAGCCCAGTGGTGAATGCACTCTTCCGCCAGCGCAGTTGTATCGAGAACATTCTCAGGTGCTCCTGGTGAAGGGTGGGACACAAGGCTGGCTGGGCAGAGCAGTCCCGGGGCAGCCCTGCTGAACCCACACTGTCCCCGCAGGGCCTGTGTGGGGCTCCCGCCCCAGAACCACATGCTTTTAGAGCACAAGATGGAGCGCTCAGGCCCAGGCATCAAGCCAGGAGAGATGGCGGCCACCAGCCCACTGTCACATAAGAAAGAGTTCACACCTGCTGCCACCAATGGCTGTACCGGTGATGCCAATGGGCACACGCAGGCACCAACACCAGAGGTGTCCACTGCTTAAATCAAGTAATCCTTTCATCCAACCCTCTCATCATTGTCCTCAGGACCTTGCCAACAAAATAAAGGGTCCCCATCAGGCAAGCGTCCTTGTGGCTTTTTACCAAGTCTTAGTGTGTAGCCCTGGCTAGCCTGTGTATGTTAACCTTGCTGGCTTCAACTCAACCCATCCACTTGCATCTGCCCAAGTGCTGGGGTTAAAGGACTGTACCACCAGCCCGGTCCCTATGTTCTCCTTGTAGATGTGGTAGGCTCGCAACTTCACCCCACCCATCTCATCTGGGCAAGGATTGAGGCCATAACTGCTGGTCAAGTGAGAGACACCAGTGGTACCAAAAAGACAAAAATCGAATGGTGTTTATTGGCTGTGCGCCCCCCACCCCCAGCCCCGTGACAGCGCACAGTTCAGAAGGCCTGCCCTTCTCTGAGGTCCTTGCACTGTGTGCGTGCGTGTGTGTTTAGAAAATGATAAAGTCCTTCGTGGGGGGCCCTGCCGGCCATCCAGGCTGAGCTGGCCAGGAGTCCGGGTGGGGCGCGACCCCAGACCTTGCCAGCAGGACACTGGGCGCAGACCAGGGCTATCACACGCTCATGGTCACGCCGGGGGAGTACTGCGGAGAGAGGGCGGCGCGCGGGCGCGGCTCAGCTCTGGCCGAGGCTGGGGCCCGCCCTCCCGGGGACAGGGGAGAACCCGGGGAGGGTGGGGAGGAGGGGAAGGTGCCGCGCCGCCCCCCCCACCTGGCCCGCCGCGGTCATGGTCTTGTTCTGGCCCCGCGGCCGCCCCGCCGGGGCCTGCCCGCCAGGCCCCTCCGGCCCGCCGCGGCCGCGGGTGGGGAGTCGACGCAGGCGCTTACGCTTTCGCTCGGAAACGGATGCAGGAAGGTCCCGGCAGCCGCCATCTCGTTGTCGTCGCGCGGGGTCCCCGGGGCGTTGCTCAGGCCGCCCACGGCGCCAGGGGAGTTCTGGGGGCGGCGCCGGTCAGCGCATGGGTCCCCTGTTCCAGGTCACCTGCCCCCACCCACCCAGCGTGCACAACCTCACCTTCGGCAGCCCGTCCATATCGCCCGAGCCTGCGGGGAGACAAGAAGCTCAGGTGCTGATACGGAGCTCAGGGACAGGGTATCCCAGGGGCTCTCGTTCCCGTAGCCTGGGGACAATGGAGGGTGCAGGCGTTGAGCTCAGGGGCCACCCGAAAGCTTGGGGGCAGGGGTCTCTCAGAGCCACCCCTCCCGTGGCGTGGAGGTCAGGGCACTAGCGGATCTAGGCGCCGGCGACCAGGGACCCTCGTAGCCTCTTGTCCGGGCGCCTGGGAGTCGCGGTGCCCGCCGATGAAGCCGCTAGGTGGCGCCCGGCCACTCACCCAGGGATCCGTTCACGTGGTGCGGCTCCATCGCGCTCATAGCGGCCATTGGGCCCTCGGGGCCGGGGCCGAGCGGGAACTGCGGGCACAGGGCAGCGTGGGGCTCGGGCCGGCCGCCCCCCGCGGGGTCCCCGTCGGGTGAGGCGCACCGGCCCCCACTCACGTTAGCCCTGCCGGCGCCCGGCCCGATGGGGTTCATGATGGTATACATGTTCTCGCTGGAGTTGGTGGAGTCTGGGGGGGACAGCAGGGGCTGCGTGGGTGGGTGTGTGGGATGGAAACCCCGGTCCACCCCAACCCGTGTGCTCCCTACCTCCAGGGCTGGGCATGATGGGTGTTCCGGGGGCGCCTCCTCCTGCGGGTCCCTGCTGGGAGACATGGGGACTGTGAGACTTGGCTTGTCTGGCCTGCACCCTTCAGGTCCCACCGCACACCTGCAGGGAACTCACCGTGTAGCTGCCAGGAGATGAGGAAGCGTAGGGGATCTGGGAATAGGCAGGGACAACTGTGAGCGTCAGTAGCAGGCAGCTGGCCCGAACCCTCCTTCCCCAGCGCACCCTGCCTGCCACTCACCGAGTTACCGCTGGGACTGGCCCACGGGCCACGCACCCCCGGACCCCTGGAAGAGATGGGGGCGCTGCAGCAGCCCAGGCGCCCAGGGCCCAGCAACCTGTCATTCCCCAGGGCTAAGTGATCCTTTTGTCCTGTTTCCCCTCCAGACCGTGGAATAAACGTTGCCCAGGTTGTCCCTGAATACATGGCCTGCATCTAGGCTGGGTGACCACAAGCCTGAGAGTACCCTAGGGCCTTACATGTTCATGGATGGCAGGACCTGGCTGGATGCAAGGGAATTGGGTGGGGGCCTCATGCCAGTTCCATAGCCCTGTTGAGGCAAAAACGTTCTTTCGTCAGAGAGTACCTAGGGCGTGGCCTTCCTGCCCCACAGTGGGTTGGGTCACCCCTTACCTGGGGCCCAACACTGGCCATGCTCCTCGGAGGTGTCACTCTTTGCATGGAGCCTCCCAGGCTGGGGTGCCCTGGGCAGAGACATAAGGAAGAGGGCTTGGGCATTCCCAGATATGGACAGCACATCCAAAAGGGGGCTTCAAAAAAGAACGGGTCCCGAGGAACAGCAGCTGGAGTCTGCTACTCACCTTGTGCGCGTGGGGAGGGGTCCATGGCACCAGGGATGATGGGCTGGGACCCAGGGAGGCCCACAGGAGGCTGTGGGGTGGGCACGGTACTGAGTTGGAGGCGACACCCCTACCCAGCTCCTGTCCCACCCCGCACTCTCTCACCTGTCCTGGCATCCGTAGGGTGGGCCGGGCACCCCCTGGAAACCGTGATGACATGAAGGGCTGGAAGAGGGGGTGGGGGTCAGCAATCTTCATTCTGTGTTTCCCCTAAAGAAACCCTGTTTTTTCTTAAGCCTGGGGCACAATGGAGGCAGGGGCTTCCAACCTTTCTGGTCCCCTGCCTCAGAGACAGATTACAGACCACAGCCAGCTGGTACAGCTGCAGGAGGGAGCAGTGCGCGGTCCGGCATGTGTGAGGGCCCTTACTTGACTGTGGGGGTCACCACTAGAACTCTGGGAACAGCTACACATCTTGAGGGTGAATGGGAAAGCTACTGAACCCCGACTGAGAGGGGAATGGGAGCACAGCCTGCAGGTAGCAGACGGTACAAAGAGACGTGAACAGGACGGTGGAACCAGCGGACACCGGTGCTCAGGGGTACAAACTCATGCCTGTCACTAGCGATGACAAGGTGCACACATGTTCACATTCACTGTGTCCACAGCCCTTCCACCGAATTCCAGCCTGCAGCTTACCCCTACCTCAACTGTGAGGACAAAGGAGGCCCCAGGCAGCCATACCTGGAAGAAGCCTGGTGCCCCCATCGTGTCGTTAGGGGCCATGGCGCCCATCACAGGGTTGGGGACGGCGGCACTCTGCAATGAGACACCAGAGGATGTGAGAGCCACTACAGGTGACTTTCGGAACAGGGTTTCCCCTCATCTTTGCATGCAGCCTGGGGACAGCTATCACGTGGTCAAGCTGGGAGACCAGAGAAAGGGGTGAAGTGGTGTAGCAACACCCCCAGACTTCTATGGCTCCCTCTTATCTCTTCTGGTGGCATGGAGGCCCTCTCCCGACCCGCACCCCGAATGTCTAGGCCAGTCCTTGCCCCAAGAGCCCCTTCCTTGTTCTGCACTGTAAATGTACAGCCACCCATCCAGGACGAAGGAGCGGGAGTGTGGGGAGGGTCCCTAGACCACAACCCTCCTCAGATGGACAACAACCAGGCTCAACAGGCTCAGAGCTGGGATGGGGGGTATGGGGTTGGCAGGCTCCTTCTGCTGTCCCTCTCTTCTCACTGCCTTCCCAGGTGGCTATGCTGGCTAGCACAGACATGCCTGGGACTCCATAGGCTTCTGCTATGATCTCTGGAATGGGGACAGCCCCACCATAGCTCAGAGTCAGGTCCCTGGTGACCTGTTCCTGCAACTCTGAGGTTGCTGCAAGCATTCTGGTCTAGCCCTGGGGAATAAATGACAGTAGCCCACAGAGAAAGTGCACTCTCAAGGAAGCCCCAAAATCATTGGAACTCCCGCTGATTACGGGTTGTCATGCCCAAAGCGCCCCCCCCCACGCCTGGCCTATCCGCCTGGCCTATCCCCAAACGCGAATACCAGGTCCCTTGATGCAGACCAGCTGGGCACTGCGGGAGGGCGGTCTGAGCCGGAACCCCACCCCCTGCGCCCGTCAATCATCCCACAGCGGCGCCCCCGCGCCCGCCCGCATTACCATGACGACGGGCAGGGCTGCGCTAGCGTTTCCAGGAGACGCCAAGGTCGGGGCCGCAGCAGCAGGGCGCCGAGGACCAGACTGCTCTGGCCCCGCCCTCCGACGCCCACGCTGCCATAGCAACCGGCGCCTAGGGACTGCTGTGAGGAGGCGAGGACCGCCTACTGTGCCAGAGGGAAACTGAGGCCAGGGCGTTGGCCTTTAACCCCAACTCTACAGAGGCGGGAGGTAGCGGAATCTCTGAGCTACATAGGAGTTCCAGGATAACAGGACTACTTAGTGAGCCCCTATCTCAAAAACAAAACAAAAAATTCCAGGAGACTCAAGAGACCACTTGCTGCTCTGGCAGAGGCCCCACGTTCAGGTCCCAGCACCCACATGGCAGCAGCTCATAATCTGTAATGATGCCCTCTTCTGGCCTTCGCAGGCACCAAACATACACACGGTGTACAGACAAGACTTGCAGGCAAAAATTCATACACATAAATTTTCTTCTTTTTTTTTTTTTTCCTCCGAGACAGGGTTTCTCTGTGGTTTTGGAGCCTGTCCTGGAACTAGCTCTTGTAGACCAGGCTGGTCTCGAACTCACAGAGATCCGCCTGCCTCTGCCTCCCAAGTGCTGGGATTAAAGGCGTGCGCCACCACCGCCCGGTTCATACACATAAATTAAAAGTGTTTTTTTAAATAATAAAATTAAAAAAAAACAATAAAGAGGGACGTGGTGGTGCATGCCTTTAATCCCAGCACTCGGGAGACAGAGGCAGGAGGATCTACAGAGTGAGTTCCAGGACAGCCAGGGCTACACAGAGAAACCCTGTCACAAAATAAACACACAAACAGCCGGGTGATGGTGGCGCAGGCCTTTAATCCTAGTACTCAGGAGGCAGAGGCAGGAGGATTTCTGTGAGTTTGAGGCCTACAAGAGCTAGCTAGTTCCAGGACAGGCTCCAAAGCTACAGAGAAACCCTATCTCGGAAATAATAATAATATAAAAAAATAAACAAACAAAAACAAAAGAAGTGGCCCAGATTCCAGAATCCTGGAGACTCACATAGTCCTGGAAGACTTTGGCCTCACTGGTGTGTTCACAGGCTTCTCTGCGGTCTGGTGCTGCGCAATAGAGATCCCAGAAGACACTGCGGGCAGTAGAAAGAACAAGGTGATCCACGTCCCCGCGAAGATCCCACTTCCTTCCGTTAGCTCCCACACACACGCACGTACCACCACCAGGAGTGCAGGAAGCCAGGGGGCTCGCCCAGGGTGATGTTCTTTTCCCAGCGGATCTATCGGGAAGAGGATGAGTGAGGGGAAGGCACCCAGGAGGGATCCGCCAACCCTGCCAGGGACAATGTGGGGTGTCTTGGCAGAGCGGACAGACTCACCTCAGACAGGAAGGTCTGAGCCGACTTCTGTGCGCCTACATGTAGCAGGTACTCATACACGTACAGCGCGAGCCTGCAGGCAGGGTGTGAAACGGTTCAGGTCGCTCGGCAGAAGGGCACTCAGGGGCCCGCCCAACACAAGGCCGTGAACAGGTTCCCCAGCCAATCCATCTAACCCGCAGAGCTTCCACCCTATACTAGATCCACCATCTCCACCTGCTGAAAACAGCTTCTTCAACTCATCGACCTGGGGCAGCCAGCTCCCGTCTATTCCCAACACACCACATAAATGTCCCCCCCCCCCCCCGCAAGAGCCCCATCTTCATCTTCTGTATCCAGTGGTGGCTGTAACTTTTCCTTCCCTGTAGAGTACTAGAGGAGACAGTCATGGTGCTTCTGGGGAATGAGGAGTGGCAAGGCAGAGCCTCCAGTGCCACATGCCACCACCAGGCCACTACCCTGTTTTGCCAGAGTCTGCAGCCTGCTGGGACTCTCTTGCTCCATGGGCCATGGCCCACCATAGTGGGCTAGGCCATCCCACCCAGCCTTTCGTAGATGGCAGCTCTCATCCCAAGTTGGGCACTGGTTCCTCTCGCTCACATATGGGTCCTCTGAGTGCCAGCACCTCCCCGCTAGTCCCTATAGGGCATGAGAATAAAGGGACATGCTGGACGCTGGGGACCTGCGGGGCTCCAGGGGTCTCCCCAGCTGTCCTCGCCCCACCCTCTCTGGCTGAGGGCCTCAGCGACTCAGGCTTTCTCTCATCCTGCCGCTATCTCATTTCTGCCCTAGGATACACTTGGGAATGAAGCTGGGGCTTTGCACCCCCAGCCTAACCTCCATGGCGCTACCCTTCACCTTGATATTCTTTCTTTATCCATCCATCCATCCATCCATCCATCAGCCCATTCACATGCCCACCCTTCTGTCCATTTGTCCGTCCATCCATCTACCCACCCTCTACTCATTCACCCACCTGCCCATCTATTTACCCATTCGTCCACATGCCACGCATTCATCCATTCCTCCATCCATTTGTCCACCCATCTGTCCATCGGTCTGTCCTCCTTATGCAATAGAACACCGGCCATCCTCCTAGGTCCAGGTGACTCCCTCAGACACATACAAGTGGACCAAGAAGGGCTGAGCTAGCAGACAAGAAGTCCATGTCAGGATCATGGTAAGCTTGGTTTGGGATGGCAGCATGGCCAGGGTGGCATCCCAGCCCTGACACCCTCCAGATAGCCAAGAAGGAGCTGTGGCCACCAGAGCCCACCATTTGGTGGTCAGAGACTGAGCTGGGCATGATAGGGATGAGGTGACAACTGATGGTCACACCCTACAGCCTGCCCACCAGTCACGCTAGCCTTCCTCTCCCTGCCCCTACACACCTGCTCCCTGGCAGTCCCCCACCCCCATCCAAAGGAGGACTCAGGGACTAGATGTCACAGGGTGAGCCCCACTGGCCCATTCACCAGGGAGGTTGAGGTGGGTAGCTAGAGGGACACACAAGGCCAGTCTCAAGTGTGCTCAACCATCCCCTCTCCCACCTCGTCTCAGCTCTGCACAGCTCCCCACAGCTGCTTCATCCAGGCCAGTAAGTCTGAACTGTTGCTCCATTGGCTCCGCCCTGCCTTCTGCCCCAGGGGCTCTGCCTTGGCTGTGCCTCCTGAATCCAGCACCAGCAGTCCAAGATGCCATACCCCACCTCTGTCCTATGCCCACCCTCCCCTTGCTGTCTCTAACAGCTGGGGTAGGCACAGACATAGGTCCTGAGACCTGCACCCACTGGCTCACTGTCCTGGGTCTGCTGAGCCTCTCAGATCCCCCCAATTTCCCTGTGGCAGAAAGCAAGCAGACTGAGGGATCTTGAGAGCCAGGACAAGCTCAGCGCCCTTCCTGCTAGACGTGCTGAGTGTCCTGGAGAGCAGGACAGCTCTGTGTTAGCCGGCTGCCAAGGCCCAACACACCACCGCCATTGGCACCATGATTGTGGGGAATCACTGTAAAGGCCACCCCTACCAGCATCCCTCAGGCAGGTTAGCCAACCGAAACACCGCGGTCAACATCTAGCCTTCCTCGCTTGGTGTCACCTGTGTCCAAGGGAAGGTGTCCTGTGCCATCCTGAAGGTTTAAAGAAGCCACCTCAATTGCTGGGCAACACCACATAGATGCATGCCTGCCCACGGTCAGCACACACACATACTCCAACTTACACAAGGTCCATTCAGACCCCAGCCTCAACCTCGCGACCCAGGTAGACTTTCCCCAGCAGGTGGTGCACTGCTCTCCTGGAGCCGGCTCCCCTCTAGACATTCAGGTTCACCTGGAGCCGGCTCCCCGCTAGACATACAGGCCTACAAGGCTCTAGTGCTGAGGGGACAGGCATGGTAGGTGGAGGCCACAAACAGGTGAGTCCAGGGTGAGAGAAAAACCAGGGCTGGGCCAACCAGTAATTGAGACACTGGCCTTGGAAGTCCTGAACCCAGAAAGGCTAGCCAACCACAATGCAGAGCCACCTGCCTACCCTCTGTGAAGACCCCACGGGGCAGATGGAAGACCTTACACCAGTAGGCCGAGAAGAGTCCTGCTTCACGGGGCCTCATCTACAAGGATCGCCCAAACGGGCCTTGCGTCCACCCTAGCAGTCCCAAGCCTGGTTGGCCTCTTCCTGTTCTCTGTGAGCCCCACAGGCCAGACGCACTTCTTTCAGACACCCTTGATAAGCATTTGGCTCAGCCTCCGTGTGCAGTTCAAACACACAAGCCTCGCTGTGGCCCACAGCACATCCTCAACTCCCTGCCTACTCCTACCACAGGCCTTTGCACCCCTCTGTCCCCTCCTGGCCTAACTTGAGGCTCCCGATGGTCACAATGGTACTTTGTGGGATGGCTGGGCCCTTGCTCTCTGGATCTGCATGTCCTCTCACAGAGGTCCCAGACTGTCAGACCCCGACCCCTGCCTCATCACCTCCCTAACTTAGCACAGGACTACTGACTATGTGAACTATGTCCAGGCTGGGGACTCACCAGGTGTCGCACGACCGAGCCAGACGGTCCCTGCTTCCCACATGGGCATTAGCCTGATGCCAGGATGGGTCATTGAGGCCTAACCACACTACAACAAGGGTAGCCTGAGGGGCCAGCATCCACGGCATCCCCAGCAACCCAGACTCCTCTGTGGGTCATCTGTCTCATACCCAGGGCTGTGCTGGACAGCTCAGCTTCTCGGTGGCCAGCCAAGTTTCCATGCAGGCTTGGCATGCTCACCACACCCCCAATGTATGTGCTGCCCCCAACACGCTTCAAATGTTCACACCTTCACCAATTCCCCTGCATGGGCACCCAGGGAAGGAAAGCCAGGCAACTCAGCTTGCCCACCTTGGCCACTCATCCTGCATCTCCAATGCAGGGCAGTGAGGGCCAGAACCAGTCTGGCCCACCTAGGGTCACTGGAGGTAGCCCAGGTAGCTCCACCTTCTTCCCTCCTGCCCTATGTCCTCAACTTTGCCCACAAGCGACAGTTCAGTTCAGGTCACACGTGCCCACACAAATCTCACGACCTCCAGGCTCCCAACACCTAGAGCCCCTCAACCTCCTCAAATCTGCAGCTCTTGGGTTTGTGTGCATGGGATCCCCGCCCTGAGACCTGCAGCTCTCCATGAGCCCCATGGTCTCGAGGCCCAACCCAGGCCTGTGTGACCCCAGAACCATAGAGGTCTCGCAGCCCTCAGATGCTGTGCCTGCCCCGGGCATCCTGCTCGCTGCTACAGCACGGACTCCTTATAGCTCACAGTCCCTGATATGGCACCCCATCCACTTCTGTGTGACCCCAGCAACCCTTGTGGTCTTGTCTGACCCCCTGATCTTCTGTGCCCTCAACTGTCCTGAGACACCCACCCCCAGGACCCGTGAATCTCCCACACTGCAGTCTCATGCCTTCTGTTTCTCAGTGACCCTGAACCCCTGGAACTCGAGTGCCTCCTATATATTCTGCCCTTTGTGTCTTCCGTGACCCCAAATGGGGCCTCAGGCTTCGCACACCCACAATCATACACCCTTGAGGTCTCGTGCGACCCCACAAGCCCTTTGACCTCGTGTGTACCCCTGAAATTCCCGCTCCATTCTGATCTTTGGTAATTCCACGAGCCCTCCGGATCTCGTGTATCCCCCTGAAATCCCGCACCCTTCTGGTCCCTCATGACCGCACAGTCCCCGGTCCCGCGTGGCCCCCAAGCCGCGCACTCACTTCTCGCGCGCCTGGCCGTCCGAGGGCGCGCAGCCCTTGCCCGCCTTGCCGTACATGCTCCGCACCTGTCAGGCGCGCAGGGCCAACGCCGCCCGCTCCCCGGGTTCCGCAGCCATGTCCGCGCGGGAGCTGCGGCCGCGGGTGGGTTCTAGCCGTGCTGCCCTCCGCGGGCTGTTCCGGGAAGCGCGCCGCCGCCGCGCGCTCCCGCCGCTCTTAAAGCGGCAACGGCGGGCGCGCACGCGTAGAGCCTGCGGGGGCGGCAGAGCCCACTAAACAGGCTGCGCGCGACTTAGCGCGTCTACCGTACCTCCCGCACCCACGCGGGAGACACGATCTAGCCACTGCCATGCCTCCAAATAGGGAAGCTGAGGCAGGAGGATGACTGCGAGTTCCAGGCCCACCTTGGCTGCGGAGCAAGACTCCCAGCTGCACAGATTCGCAGGGCTGTGGGTTTCTGGCTTCGACTCCGAACATGTCTCCTGGCCTCAAAGTGCATGTGCCCACAACATTCTGCACCCAGAACACACATTGAGAGCCCACATGCAGCCCAGCCAGTTATGAGGAGTTCCATCCATCTTTTTCTTTTCTTTTCAGAGGGTTTCACATAGTCCAGGTTGGTTTCGAACTCAATAAGCAGCGGAGGACGACCTTGAACTTCAGATCCTGCCTCAGCATCCCTAACGCTGAGATGACAGGCGTGCCCTGCTTAGCCTGGGTGGTATGCTGTAGATGGAGCCCAGGGCTTTGTGCATGCCAGCGTGGACCAACTGAGCCCCAGTTCAACTATAATTTGTTTGTTTTTCTGAAAACGTGTCTTCACTCAAAGGCAGAGGCCAGCCTGGTCTACATAGCGAGTTCCTAGACAAAATACATAGTGAGGCCCTGTCTCAAAAGTAGAATCTAAACAAAACAAAGTCTCAAGTATCCCAGGCTGTCCTCCAACTCCCTATGTCACTAAGGCTATCCTTGAACTGGTGATCCCCCTGCCTCCACCTCTGGAGTAGGGGAGTAACAGGCGTGCTCACTGGGCCGAGGGCATGCTACCCCCAGCCCCCACGTACACACACATTCGTAACACGCGGCCCCGTGAGCGCACGTGTGGTCGTGGCGCATGGGCGTGCAGGCGAATGCTCGCTGTCTCGCAAGTGTTCACAGTTGGACGGCGACGGTTTTTTTGGGGGGAAGGGGGACAGGCAGGAGATTGTCCCAAGTAGGTCTTCAGCTACCGAAACGTCGCGTGGTGCAGTCACGGGCACAAGTTTCCTATGGGACGTGTGTGTGTGTGAGACAGTCTGCAGGTCACCGCGGTCCTGGATGACGCGGGTGTCCCTGGTGCAGGCAGATCCCCTTGCCCGGGCCTCCCCTCCCCCACTCTGCCGGCGGACGGGAAGCCGAGACCTGGAGGTTCCAGGAGCGCAGGAAAGGCTGCACTGGCGCGCCCCGCCTCCTCCCCCAGGACTCAGCTGGGCGGACGCCGGCCATTCCCATTTCCTGCCCGGCCCGCGCCCCCTCTCTTTCCCCCTCCCCCAGCTTCCTCTCCCCGCGGCGGGGCTGGTGAGTACTGGCTGCCTGAGAGGCCGTCGGGGAGCCTGGGCCATCGAGGACAGCACTTTTTGCAGCCTCTGCTCGTGGCAAGTGTACCCGCGATGCATAGGTTTCTTCCACCCTCATCTGTGTCCCCAAGGTCCAGCGCTGCCCAGGACGCCCGGTTTCCCCTCCCTCAGCCACAGATCTTTGATTAAGTATCTTCACCCACACTCGGTGCTATTTATTGAGCGCCTGCTGTCTACCGGGCTCTGGGGACCCAGTAGAGACACTTTGCTATTACTCCTGGAGCTGAGAGTCCGCCGCGGAAAGCCGGCGACACATTCTGGACAGGGGGGAGTGGGGGACGGGCGGCGGCGAGGCAAGGTCGGCAGGACTCCTGGAGGAGGGTGGAGGCGGGCGCAGGGAGGAGAGAGCAGGGGGCGCCCGCAATCCTACAGGCTGCTCGGGGAGGATCTGCGGGCGGGAGCGACTGCGCCGTCGTCATGGCAACCGAGGCGCTCCCAAACACAGCTAGGAGAGTCAGGGGAGCTGAGCACGCAGGATACACACACCCAGTTTGGGCCTAGCCAGAGACTCGCCCAAACGAGAGAGAAGCAGGGTCGATACTGAAGGACGGGGAAGGGGTGCTCGGAGGCAGCAGAGAAGGGGTCGAGGATAGGCAAGGGCCGAGCAGCTTGCCTGGCTGTCTGTACAAGCGCCACCTTGTGAGGCAGAGCTAAGAAAACCATTTCCTTGGGCCGGCGAGAGGGCTCAGCCGGTAAAGGCGCTTGCCACCAAGCTTGATGACCTGAGTTCAACCCCTAGAACTCACATGGTGGAGTATGTTGCCCAGTCCTATGAGTTTCACACGCACAATGGCACCTGCGCTCACACACATATACACTGACACAGTAAGTAAATGTTCGTCAAATAAAAGCGACAAGCTGGAGGCGTTTGAAGCCTAATCCCTTTTCCCTTGGGTGTGGTAGGAACCAGATTGCCTGCTTTGTCAAGCGGATCTGCTTCCCAAAGCACGCGGAGGGCCTGGCCAGCGATCCTGGCTCACAGAAGACAAACCCAGAAGGGTAAATCTTGTTTCTTCCCTTGAGCCTCCTGCCCGAGACTGCCCGGTCCACCAGAAGAGCCGGCTCCGCCGCGCCCCCGTGTGGTCGGCAGCGGCACTGCAAGGCTGCTGCTCCTCCCTCCTCCCCTTCCCCCCTTCTCCGTGTCCCTCCTCTGCCCTGTCCCGCAGGCCTTCTCTACCCTCTCTAGATTTCCCCTAAAGCTTTGGCTGTCCCTAAAATTGACAACTGGTGCCCTCCCCCGCCAGGGGCCACAGCGCGGGTGAGCGGAGCCGCGTGGACCCTGCGCCCGCACCCAGCGGCCTCAGCCCCGCCCAGCTGTGCATAGGAGGCGGCACAGCTGGAGTGCGGCTGTGCTCGGAGACCGTTTCCTCTCCGCAGCTGTAATTATGGGTAATTTTCTAAGTGCAACACAAAAATTAAAACCCAAACACCACCGGGAAGGGAGCAACCGCAGCTGCTGCACGCGGCGTGCCGGGACTGCACTGGGGGCTGGGGCTTGGGGTGGAGGGAGGACGAGAACCTGGGGCGATCTGTCCCTTAGCCTCTTGGGGTGCAGGGTTCCGAAATTCGAGGTATTGGGGACAGAAGTCTGTGTGTGGCCCGGTTCAGGAGCTCGGCGGCCCCGCTGCCCTCGCCGAGCCGCTGGGTCACGTCCCGGCCAGCGGGCGGCGGGGGAGGAAGCCCAAGGGTCGCCCTTGCCGGACCGCAGCCTAGGGGGCAGGCTTCTTCTGTGGCTCCCGCCGCCCGCCCTCCGCCCTGCTCGTGAGGACTTCTGAGCCACACGGATCCTAGGACCACTGTGGGACAGGGAGACCCTTCTGGTGTGAGCCGCTCCCCTGCAGGACAGAGCCCTGTCGTCCATTCCGCCTGACCTCGGGTCCTCAATTCAGCCACAAGCACGGGGCTTCATTTTTGGTTGAGTCCTTCCAGCAGGCGTTGGTACAGTTTGTTCTGCAGAGGAAAAAGCGGGCTCAGTGTGACAAAGCAACCTGCCTAAGGATGCACAGCAGGGACTAGAGACTGGAGGCTCATTTGAGGGTGCGTTGGTAATGCATGCCCCCCTCGCATACTCTCATTTCATGTGAAAAACACTTGATAAGTATTTGCTGAGCAGACGAACCAGCAGCCGCTTTCTCTGGGACCCCTGGGGGTCTGGGTTTCTTCAAGGTTGTCGGGTTTCTTGCTCCCTCAAAGCAGCCAGGGGCTGTGGTTCCAGATGTGGCCACGCGATGGAAGCAGAGAGGCCGCCAAAGAGCCTCTTGGCCTGGCGCATGCGCTCACTAGGGCCTCCAAATAGGCAATGTGTAGGTCTCCCTAGGCGCCGGCTCCAGCCTCAGCCCTCTAGGGCTGGGGTCACAGGCCAGCGCCACTAATTTGGCTGCTAATTAACAGCTTTCCAGTCACTGGAGGGATGTTTCAGTGGTTAAGAGCATTGGTTACAACTCCAGAGGACCTGGGTTCAATTCTCAGCACCCACACAATTGCTCATTTAACTGTTGAGGAGAAAGACCACTGACCTACATCATCATGGCCAAATTAGTTAAAGCAAACAATAATTAAAACAAGATTTTTATTCCTGAAGGCAAAGGTCAGCACTGGCTGCAGGGGTGGGGTCACTAAGTAGGGGAAACAGGTAGGGCTACAGAAACAGAACAGGACGGAAACAAAGATGTGGTTACAAGGTAACAAGGTAGTCATAGCTTTTGAAACAGAGGTAGAGTCGCAAGATGGTTATCAACAACTTTTGAAACAAAGACATAGTTGCCATTATTCCTGCAGCAGGCAGCCCAGAACCATTTGTAGCTAAGGGTACAGCTGGGGCATAGCCCGATCCTTGAGAAACAGGTTTAATTACAAACAGGAATGAGCCTACTTCCCCTTTACCACAAATTGAATTTTAAGCCCACAAAAGAGGCAGGCTGGTTCTTCAAGTCTCCCTTGGTGCCCTGTCGAATCTTTAATAGGCTCTTAGCATTCTTTTGTTGTGGTTGTATTTGTTTTATTTTGTTTTTGTTTTTGTTTTTTTTTTTTTCGAGACAGGCATTCTCTGTAGCTTTGGAGCCTGTCCTGGAACTTGCTCTGTACACCAGGCTGGCCTCAAACTCAGAGATCCACTTGCTTCTGCCTCCCAAGTGCTGGGATTAAAGGTGTGCGCCACCACCGCCAGCAGGTCTTAAGCATTCTTTATGGGGGGGGTCACAACATTTGTAACTGTTCACCCATAGATTACACCTGTGTGGTTAACAGACAGAACAAGCGTTTTAAGGCCATATCATCTTGGACTTACTATGGACTCTATATGTAGCCATTTTGACTGTTTCATCAGTGAAGCCCTTGGTTGAGGACAAGGGTGACACGGCCTCCTTTGTAACTACTTCCATTGAAATGAGGAAGCTGTTGTCAGGGTCCAGGGAGGCTAAATGGCAGGATGGCAGTAGGGCATCAAAAGCATAGGTTACCAATCCTGCTGAAGAAACAGGGACCGACCACATCAGCTGGACTGGTTCACGTCTGCTCTCAGCAAGGCCAGGACTTTGGGGTTCTGTAGGACATAGATCACCTTTGGAGCGGTTTGGAGTCCACAGCT